AAGAGACTCTTAACAATAGAGAACAAGCTGAGGGTTGATGGAGGGTGGGAGATGGGCCAGGTGGGTGATGGGTATTAAGTAGGGCATCTGTTGTGATGAGCACTGGATGTTATATATAAGTAATGAAACAATGAATTCTACTTCTGAAACTAATATTGCACTGTATATTAACTAAAATATTAAAAAGTTAAAATTAAAAATACTTCTTGGACATCAAACAAAAAGAAAATAACAAGTATTGGCAAGGATATAGAAAAGTCAGAATCGCGGTGCCTGGGTGGCTCACTTAAGCATCCGACTGTTGGTTTAGGCTCAGGTCATGATCTCACAGTTTCATTGAGTTCAAGCCCCAAGTTGGGCTCTGTGCTGGCAGCATGGAGCCTGCTTGGAATTCTCCCTCTCTTCCTCTCTCACGGTTCGTGGGATCGAGCCTCATATCTAGCTCCGCGCTGAGAGTGTGGAGCCTGCTTGGGATTCTGTCTCCCCACTCTCCCTGCCCCTCTTCCACTCACGCGCGCTCTCTCTCTCTCTCTCTCTAAAAATAAACAAGGGGTGCTGAGTGGCTCAGTCAGTTAAGCGTCTGACTTTGGCTCAGGTTATGATCTCACAGTTCATGAGTTCGAGCATCACAATGGGCTCTGTGCTGACAGCTCAGAGCCTGGACCCTGCTTTGGATTCTGTGTCTCCCTCTCTCTCTGCCCCTTCCTTGCTTGCACTCTCTCTCTCTCTCTCTCAAAAATAAACATTAAAAAAAAAATTTATTAACAAAATGGATTCAATTAATCTAAAAGATGATGGAGATTTTTTATAGGTTTTGATAATTAATCAAAATCATAGCCATTTTCCTATAAAGAGAATTACAGATGGCCAAAGCACAATATACTGAAAGTGATGCCACAAGAAAGTTACATGAACAAGCTAACAAGACAGGAAGGGAGTTTTTCAAAAAACGTCCTCCCCCAAAGATCACTCAGCCCTGACGGATTCACTGATAAATTTTTCTAAACTTACAAATTGAAAGTAATCTACATATAGCCATGAAAATAAGGAACCCCTCCCAATGACCTAGTAGGAGTCTTCTTAACTAAACATGATATACTGTGTTATCTCAAAATACACACTTAAGGCATTTATAAATATAACTGTTCACTTCTGATTAAATGCTTCCAGTTAAATATTTCAGAATAAGGGAAAGGAATCCTTTTTTTTTTTTTTTTAAACCATCATCTAGCACCTCCTGAAGTCCCATCACATGCTTAAGCTCTTAACAGTTCTTACTGCCCAGGAGGCCAAGCTCAGCCTCTACCCCTCTAGAAGGTCTCCTGTACAATTAGCAAATCTGATCACATTTGTCTATGCTCAAAATACTCCTGCAGCCTGCACTCCTTAAATAAAGATGTCCAGTCCCCTTGACAAGGAACATAAGACTCTTCCCTCAACGGGTTCATCCTGACTGTGACCAGGAAGCCATCTCATTGCACTAGACAACTTATAGATCTACTCACAGGCCTTACTGTACCCAGACCCACCTGGCAAACTCCTATTTGTCTCTCAACACCACTGTGAAGCTGCAGTAACCACCCCAACCACTACCCTCCACCAAATACACCTGTATCTACCAAGAAGGTACATATACTCTCAAACATCTCATCTGAAGTTAACACCAAAGTCTCAAATTCCAGACCCAGCCTAGACCATCATCATCACTCCCCTCCTACCATCCATACATCCAAACAGTCTAAAGAGCCTTCACTGCAACCAAGGGTCTCTTGGAAATCAGAAGTAACTGGCAGAAAGGCCTCAGTTACTGTCATCCTCCATATCATGTCCCTGCTGGAATACATGCTAGTACTTTCAGGTCCAAGTGTTTATGAATGATGATACTTTCAGTTATGGAGGATGTATGCTCATTAACACCCCCCCATCAAAAAAGAAAAAAGTGATCCCAGAAAATGGCAAGTGCCAAAGGGGATTCTCATCTTCCAAATCCAGCAATGAGATGAACAATGGCAGGCCCACCATCATTCCTAAGAATGCCACCCCTCTATCCCTACATCTGTCCAGTACTAGCTCTGCCCAGCCATTTAGCCAGCCCTGTAACCTGGGAAAGCCAGAGGTATCCATCCTTCCCAGGAAGAATCCCTATCTAGCTGCAATCTGATTCTTACTTTCCACCTTAAGGAATAATCAGGGAGATTATCAGGGCAGGAAGGAAAGCCCTCAGGCGCTGGCAGGCAGAGTGAAATGAAAACAGAAGCAATACCCACAGAGGCCCCTTTCTCTTGCCAAACAAGACATCCACCAGAGAGGAATGCTAAAAAAGGTGCCAACTCTCCTGATGTGTTAGTGCGGGGATTAACACCTCATCCACTGTCTCTAAGCCCCTTCTCCCTACTGGCCCACACCCTGTGCCTGGACAGGGTCTGACTTCACAAGGGCCCAAAATGGATTTCCCTACAATGTTGTATTAACAACACCAAGGGGTTCCTGGGTGGCTCTGTCAGTTAAGCATCCAACTTTCAGTCAGTTGGCTCAGTCAGTTTGCGAGTTCAAGCCCCATGTCAGGTTCTGTGCTGATGGCTCAGAGCCTGGAGCCTACTTCGGATCCTCTGTCTCCCTATCTCTTTGCCCCTCCTCTGCTCATTCTCTCTCTCTCTTTCACACACACAAAAATAAATAAACATTAAAAAAACAAAACAAAACAAGAAAAACCAATGTCAAAGCACATGATCAGCAGCTGGCCTCCAACAGGCCCAGAGGGAGTCAAAAACCCCATCATATGAACAAGGCAAACAGACCAAGCCAGCTCCATATGGCTCCAACTCAAAAGAGATTCAGATCAGCCCAGGTAGACCTTGAAGCACTCCCCACCCCCAATCTGCTCCACTCCATGGATCCCAAACCCAATGAGCCATGCAAAAACGGTTCTTACTAAAGAAGGATGCGAATGTGGAACTTACAATACCATGCCTAGCACATGGTAAAAGACTGCACTCCAAAACCACCTGAAAGACAGACTTCCAAGATTTCTTGATAGAAACGCATTTGCTTTTGTTCATTTTGCTTTATTTCTATTTAAACAGATAATATACTCACAAGAAAGAAAATGTGAAAACTTTGAATGTGGAAAATTTCCTTCCCAGTCCTATCTCTAGCCACCCTGTCCCTTCCCAAGGGACAGCCAATACTACAAGTTTTCCTGTAACTTTCCAAAGGTATCTTACGCATGTACAAGCAGGTACAAGTACAGGCAGGTATAGGTATGGTCATTTTGCCTTTTTTATTTTTACTTATCTGGTAGCATATTATATTCTGTTCTATGCCTTATATTTTCAACTTAACAACACATTCTAGAGATTGCTCCAAATAAGTACCTAAAAAGCCTCCTCATTCTCTTCATGGCTGCATTGTATTCTTTTCTGTGGATTAACAAAAATTCATTTAACCAGTCAGTGTTCATGGTTGCTTAAGTGCCGTGTAATAACAGATTATAATAGTTACTTCTGTATGAAAGCCTATAAAAGCCTCTTTTCTCTGCCACTAAAGCAGTGCAAAAGTTCAAAGAGCACATCTGGAATACGAAAAAGATTAACAATCAGTTTACCCTTGATGGTGAATTATTTTTCTAAGCTCCTTGGTTACTAAGAGGCAGAGCTACAAACACTATAGACACATGTAGTCAGCCCAGGCCAGTGGCTTACATAACAAAGATCACAGCTGCATGCTACACAAAAGCCAAACATGCCACACGCACTCTGGTTAATAACTCAAGGACAGTTTTTACTCAGATCAAAGCTAAAAAAATGTCAGACTCTTGACAATTAGCTGAATCCTGAATAAGTGTAGATTTCAAGTATTTGAAATTAGTCAATGAGAAAAAAAATCTGTGAGTGATATTAAACATAGACGGGAAAAGATGAAACGTTTAAGTGCTGCTCTCTCTTTGGAAAAAAACAGTTGCCTTCTTGTGTCCAAGGCACAAACACTAGAGAGGGCCAGGGCCAAAACATAGGGACTTTGCCTGTCTCCATGCTGGTGTTGGGGCAGCTTGTACCATGTCACTTATGCCACTGAAGGGACACATGGACTTAGGACCATCTTCTGGAACTCATCAGCTTCTGGGAGAGGTTTCTATCACCTCAACTAGACACAGCCCAGGACTAGGCATGAGCCACTGGGCAGAAAATAGCTGAAAGGGTGCTTAGGTAGTAAAGAAGGACCATCTGTGGGGCCCAGAGCATTCCTCAAATCTGAGGTTGCTGACTGCCAACCTAAGTCTTGCACAAATCCTCTTATTTATTAAGAAATTGTCTCGGGGCGCCAGGGTGGCTCAGTCGGTTAAGTGTCCAACTCTTGATTTCAGCTCAGGTCATGATCTCACAGTTCATGAGTTCAAGCCTTGCATCGGGCTCTGTGCTGACAGTAAGAAGCCAGCTTGGGATTGTGTGTGTGTGTGTGTGTGTGTGTGTGTGTGTGTGTGTGTGTGTGTGTGTGTGTGTCTCTCTCTGCCCCTCTCTGTTCACATGCTCTCTCTCCCTCTCTCAAAATAAATAAGCATTTAAAAAAAAAAAAGGAAAAAAACTGCCTCAACTGTAACCCAAATTGGAGGTCACTTAAAGACTCTGATCATTAATATGGTAAAGTAACAAAAAAGCCAGTGTTGGCAATAGCCTTCCTCTCCATATATGCTGCCAGAGTCCCAGGCTGGTCAAAGGTCAATGGGAGGAAGAGCTACTAAGGCATATCCCCACTAGGAGCAAGCTCAGGTTGCTTGGTTTTGACTGCAAATTCCATGAATGACAATCACTTGCCAATTAATTTTTTGGAATGGAAGCCCATACCATCCCAGCCATGGCCAACTTTCAGGATCTTCCACCCAATGGCCTAGCTTTGAGTGGGCAGCCAGAAAAGCTCTCTCTAGCTTCTTGGCTGCCACCATGATTCTCATCACAGAATGGATAAGGAGAGCAAAACAAATATTCTCTTAACCAGTGACTCACCAGGAAGTCTGTTCATGTTGACGCCTTGAGCTGAGAGTCCTATTCCCATGTACCTTCAAAAAAATCACACACATAAAAGTTTTTGTTAGCAAATGATTATGTATCTCCCTTCTAAAATATTTCTTGGGAAAAGAAAAATAGGACAAGCAATGAATATAGTGACTCTTAACACACTAGTGGTTCTTAACCTTCACATTTTGATTCCTTCTTTTTTTTTTAATTTGAGAGAGAGACAGAGAGAGAGACAGAGAGAACAATCAGGCCAGGAGCAGATGAAGAGGGAGAGAGAGAATCTTAAGCAGGCTCCACACTCAGCATGGAGCTTGACATGGGGCTCGATCCCACGACCCTGGGATCATGACTCCAAGCCAAAATCAAGAGTCAGATGTTCAACTGACTAAGCCACCCAGGGGGCCCACATTTTGATTTTCTAATGAAAATCATCTCAATGCCTTAAGTAGCTGGAGAAACAAGAGATGGTATCTGTAGCCAGGAACCACTGCCTTCAGTTTCAGAGGAAAGTTTCCTGAAATCACTGCTTCCAGTCCCTTGGTTTCTGGCTCCGGCTAAGGTGGTGGAATCTGTCCCTAAGAAGTGCCTAAGGTAAGTAGTTCAATCCTGTACGTGGCAGAGCAATACAAGATCAAGCCCATGGGGACATGCCACTCTTCAACAAGGACCAAGACATGGAAAAAGTACAGCCATGTAATGTACTTTCACACAGGATTGTCAAGACCCCTCCCACGGGGCTTCTTCTCTGGGTATCTCCAAACTCATTACCCTCACTGCATACATTCACTGCTGACCTCCTTGATCATCCAATGTTAGGGGGAGGGTGTTTTAAGTCCCTGAGAGACACCCCCACACACACTCCTCCTACCCAGGTACCTAAACAACTAAGCTACCCACAGCAAGGCAGGGCCCATGCTGCACACCTCTGTCAAAGATGTCTCAGTGGCACTCATGAGTGGGCAGGCCAGAAAAGGAAATGAACAGGGGCACCTGGGTGGTTCAGTCGGTTAACCGTCTGACTTCGGCTCAGGTCATGATCTCATGGTTTGTGAGTTCAAGCTCTGGGTCGGGCTCTGTGCTGACAGCTCGGAGCCTGGAGCCTGCTTCGGATTCTGTGTCTCCTTCTCTCTCTGCCCCTCCCCCACTTGTGCTCTGTCTCTATCAAAAACAAATAAATGTAAAAAAAAAAAAGAAAGAAAAGGAAATGAACAGGGTTTTCTAGCCTGTTTATAGTGTACAAGGAAACAGGTTATTTCCCTAAGAACTTAAATATGAGAAACAACTCATTACCTTCTAAGAGTAAAATAGTAGAAACTCACACATGATGCCTGGTATCAACTACATGTGAGTGCCAACAGGTAGTTGAGAAGCTTAGAATACTAAAAACACCAACCAAGAGGGCTGAGGTTTAACTTTACGGTTGCAGGTCATGTCACTGAACTTACACTTTAAAACGGTTAAAATGGTCAATATTGTTATGTATATTTTACCACACACACAAAAAAATGTTTAAAGCAATTACACAGGGTTGTCTTATTTTGACCACTTCCAAGTGGCTATACATTTACATTCCAACTGTTCCCTACTGTAAATGATTCTGCAAGGAACACTTCCACATACATTTCCCCATCTTGGACTATTTCTTTTTTACCCCTGACATGCTCCATGCACCTATGTACCTGTTTCTACCACTACCAGAGTTCCCACAACATGGTGCTACTGTCTCTGCAAGTCCTTCATCTACAGTAATGCCCCTTTGCCCTTCTCTAGCTGGCTGTGCCACTGGGTTTTGGGGGAGCAGCCTCTACCATCCAAATAAAGGATCGGATCAGGCAAGGAAGGAAGGCTGTGACCCACACATCTTCCTCTGCTACCCCATCATGCTGGCAGGAACCAGGAAAGGACACCAACCAACACATGACCCTGATAACTTGGCCTGCAGAAGTTAGGGGAAAGAGGAGGGAAGGGAAAGGAACAGCACTTCAAAGAGGGACTTGCACAGTTCAAAGGACCCAGGCTCTCAAACTGCCTGCTACCTCCTGCCAAAAAAGGACCTTGAAGAACCACTGGGAGAAGCTGTGTAAGACTGCTGGCAGGATTCCCATTAGATTAAAACCTGTTTTTCCTGGAAAAACAGCAGCCCAAATAATCAGCTTCCTTACTTTATATGGTAGAGGCCACCCAAAGGCTGGTCTCTATTCTCTTAATGCCTCAGCTGACCAAGCAGCAAATGACCTCAACTGCCCTGAAGTCATTAATCAACATAATCATGTACAACATAACCAAGGATTTCCCTGCCTTGGATGTCAGCCCACTTACCCTGCCCTGTTTGGAGGGGCCTGAGCCTCTGCTCAATACTACATGTGATCCCATCCCTGGCATGCAGGCTTCCTGACACTAAGATGAGGGTTTGTGTTTGGAGCACATGTTTCCTAGATGACCCTTGACCACTTAAGGTCAATGCAAATAGGGAAGGTCAAACAGCTTGGCCACAGCAACAAGAGTTTAATTCCACAAGCTTCCATGGGAATGAGGAACTACTAAGGCACAAGTATTCAAACACAACTTGCTTAGGCTTCTGCACTGTGGAAGCTTTTTCCACCTCCAGAAGCTAGCCCTCAACACCCTCCTATAAACTCTCTGCCCCATAGATGGGACAGTGGTTACCAGTGGATGGCCTGGAAGCCTTTACATAAACTCTAGGGTCAACTTGCAAATCCAAGTGGATGAACTAAGGGTAAAGCACCCAGAGGATCCATTACCCACACTTGGGAGCTATGTCACCTGCAGGTGTCAATGACACTGGGAGCAGCCCCACAGGAGCCTAAGTTGCATATTCATATGAAGTCAGCACTGAGTCAGTGTTCAAAAGAAATGAGTCCGGACTCTTCAAACAATGGGTGACATTATTCCAAAAGTATGATGTTCTAAAATTACAAAAAGATGCAGCCTTCTACCTTCCAGCAAGTCTTCATGCACATGAAAACTATTATCCAACCAGTCTGAGATAAGCAGAGGGTAAAAAAGGTGTAAGGACCCTGTGAATATACTAAAAAACACTGTATTGTATACTTTAAGTGGATGAATTGTATGGTATGTTAAGTTACATCTCAGTCATACGCAACAAACTAAGAATAAAAGGCATCTGTCTCAACATAATAAAGGCCATATATGATAGGCCCACAGCTAACAGCATATGTAATGGTGAAAGATTGAAAAACGTACCCTAAGATCAAGAACAAAACAAAGATGCCTGCATTTGCCATTCTATCCAACAGAGTATTACAAGTTCTAGCCAAAGCAGTTAGACAAGAAAAAGAAATAAAAGGAGCTCAAATTGGAAAAGAATAAGTAAAGCCATCTCTGTTCACAGATGACATGATTCTATATGTAGAAAACCCTAAAGATTCCACAAAAATACTGTTAGAACTAATAAACATATCCAGGAAAGTTGGAAGGATACAAAATCAACACATGAAAAGCAGTTATTTTTCTACACGCTAACAATGAACAATCAAAAAAGGAAATTAAGAAGATAATTCCATTTATAATAGCATTATAGAGGATCAAATACTTAGGAACAGACTTTACCAAGGAGGCAAAAGACTTCTAAACTAAAAACTATAAATGTTGCTGAAAGAAATTAAAGAAGACACAAATAAATGGAAAGGCATCTGTGTTCATGAATTGGAAGACAATATTGTTAAAATGCCAATACTACCTACCCAATGTGATACACAGATTTAATGCCATTCATATGGAATCTCAAGGAACACTGATTAGTCAAAACAATCTAGAAAAAGATGAAAAAAGTTAGAGGACTTACACTTCCTGATTTTAAAACGTACCACAAAGCTATGATAATCAAAACAGTGGTGGAGACAGACATAAAGACCATAGTAACAGAATAGAGAGCACAGAAATAGACCTTCCCATATATGGTCAATTGATTTTGACAAAGATGCTAAGACCATTCAATTGGAAAATGACAGTTTTTTCAACAAATGATGCTGGGGCAATGGGATAGCCTCATGCAGAAGAATGATGTTGAAGACTTACTATACACCATGTGCAAAATTAACTTAAAACAGATCAAATACAAAGACCTAAACCTAAAAACTTTTAGCAGAAAACATAGGAGAAAAAGTTTACATTAGAACTGGCAATGATTTCTTGGATATTACACCCAAAGCACAGTCAACAAAAGAAAAAAAGTAAACCACATCAAAATTTTAAACTTTTTTTTTTAATTTTTTTTTTTTTAACATTTATTTATTATTTTTGGGACAGAGAGAGACAGAGCATGAACGGGGGAGGGGCAGAGAGAGAGG